TGTATACAGTGTGGGTCTGTGTCTGTACGGCTAAGCAAACAGACACCGTTTTCCCCAAAGCGCACTGCTCTCTGCGGTCCGACGGCCACTGGCGCAGACAGGCAGAAAGTCAGCAGCCTCTCTGGGAGACAGGGCAGAATGTGCAGAGCTGCGCTGGTGGCTGCAGAAGCTGTCCACATTGACGTCACACGCTAAAGAGCTCTGACCAGTCCACATCTGAGCGGACGCCGGCTCTCCTGGACCCCGATCCCCATCCAGGAAATCTCCCGGTAATCCGGTCCAGGGGGGGCACCTTTCATCCAGAGACTCTCAGGGCCCCCGGCTGCAGGTCCGCAGACTGGGAATGTGGCAGGCATCCAGTGGGGCAAGGGAACGGTGATCACCCGGAGCCGTTGGAATTTCAAAAGCACCTTCTACCCTCCCCACCCCCGAGGGAGTGGAAAATGGGACATTTTCACAGCTTTCGAAAGAACCTCAAGAGCTTGCGGGCCCGAGCTCTCCCCTGCCGGGTCCTGCGCTTGGTGCCGCTGTCCCGCTGTCCCGCTGCCTCTGCGGCGGAGTCTGAGCAGGCGGCCCGTCTGTCAGGCTGTCCTGTCTTCCCGCTGCTCCGCCACCTGAGCTCAAAGAAAACTCACCCCCATCCTACAGGGTTGCACTGTTGGTTTCAATATCATAATAATAATAATAATAATAATAATAATAATAATAATAATAATAATAATAATAATAAGTACAAGTAGGGAGCTGCGTCACCATGCGTAGACTGCAAAGAAACAGGTAACAGGTTTACTCCAGGCTGAAAAGAGAAGAAAGGAAACACAACGTTTCGTCTGTGGGGCCTTCTTCCAGTGTATTATTATAATAATAATAATAATAAAACACAGAATTGGTGTCCCATTAATGGCATATCCTTCTTTTTGCCCATGACTTGCTCATTGAGGCTCCAGCTCCCTGTAATTCTGTACTGGATAAAGCAGTTCAGAGGCTGTTGAATAAGAATAAGAATAAGAACTGTTAGGGAGGGTTCTACAAATACAATATCTAATATATCTGACCGAATTAAAAAATGTTTGAAATAATAATACATTAATAATAATAATATACGCGGGGCTATACAATGGGTTTAAAGTAAATAATCATCATGCAGGGTTAAAAAGTTTGTTCAATATAATAAAACAATGAGAGAAATCACAGCAGGCTATGCTGTTGGCTGACAGGGTAAAAACTATGCAGAACCGGGCAGGTCAGGGATCTGAGCCGTTTCTGTACAGGGGAGGGCTGTGCTTTCCTCTGCTGGAGGGTGACATCAGCACTGCACACTGGAACGCCGGTCTCCCACTACTGCTACTGCTGCGGCTCACACACACTCACGCGCGCGCGCACGCACACACACACACACACTCTCGCGCGTGCACACCGCATCCCATAATAAGCCCGCTCTGCTGGGTGTGACCAGACAAAGGCCATCCCATAATAAGCCAGGACCCAAACGCATCCCATAATAGTTGGAGCGCTGCTAAGTGACTGATGGAGTCAAAAGAGGAACGTGGGGGTGTGTGCGTCACACAATTATGCTAAGTATGAAAATGATGCAGCAATTCTTACACTACATGTATTTTTACTGTAGAGGTGTATAAAGTTTCTCTGTCTCTCCTCTTCGAACAGTGATAGTTACTTCCTCTCACCTGTCTTTCTGAGATTCTACATTCATGTCAATCTATTGAGTTGTCTGTGAGACTGTTAATGGTCCAGGATGGTACTGTACATCAGTCGGTGTGTCTGTCTGTCCCATTCTGTCTATCTTCTTGTCTATATCTGCCTCTGTTCCCACATTGTCTCTCCATTCATCGCTTTCTGTCTGAACCTTTGAGATTCTGTCCGTCTCTCTTTGCTCAGAATGTAAGGAAGCTTGACAGTGAGTGGTAAGTGTGCCCATCTGTCCCATCTGGTAATAGCCTTATCTGATCCAAGAGCTCATGCTCTTATTGGCTTCAGCCCCATGTTTGTTCCACACCCCCACAACCCTTTGTGTAAAGTCCAGTCCTCTGCACCTTTTTTGTAATGCAATGCCCCTGTGTTTCCACTTTGTGTGCCCCTCCGGTTGGTGTTTTTCGCTGTTGATTCCTCTGGTTTCACTTTGGCAGTGCCTTTGAGCACTTTTTTGATACTGTTTGAATCAGCTCACCTCCGTTCGAAGCACAGAAAGATTCGGATCTTCTTGCCTGTCAGTGTAGGACACTCCTTCAATTCCCGGAATGTACCCAGTTGTGGTTCTGCAGGAATTTCTCTCCCTCTCTGTCTCTGTTCTCTCCACTTATCTGCTTGTAATGTGTGTCCGTATCTGGATGTGATAAAACCACAGCCCTGGTTCTTCAGAGCAGGGGTGTTACCCTGGATGTTCTGGCTAAATTTAATTCTGGGCTTGAATGATCTGGCCTCTCTACAGCACCCCCTTAAATCAACTTGTGAAGCCAGTTTCTTACTCCCCCAGCTGATCTGCTGTAAAGTGGCGCCGCTGGGATGCTCTTACGTGGGTACTGTACCTCAGTGCTGGGTGAAGTGTGTCTTCTCCCGTCCGTAAAGAGCTTTGCGAGGAAAAGCATTATATACTGTACATAAGCAAGGAACTTCTCATCATTTATGAACAGAACCTCCTCAGGCTGTGAAAAAGAAGACTCAGAGGGGACCTAACTGAAGATTTTAAAACCGCAAAAGGTATGAACGCCGGCTTCAATGGTGGA